TGGTGCTTGTGCATTGTTACTTATGGTTCGTATTGTGTTTATGCCATGTATTAAGGCTCCAAGCGTTGTCCCTATTTTTTCTTCCATGATCTTTATCGTTTTTGATTTTATGTTTAAATCTTTGATCCATTTTGAGTTAGTTTTTGTGCGTGGTGTGAGGTATGGGCCTTGTTTCAGTTTTTTGGAGATGGATATCCAGTTATGTCAGCACCATTTGTTAAAGAGACTGTCTTTTTCCCCCAATTAACAGATTTTGGGCCTTCGTTAAATATCAGCTGCTCAGAGGTGGATGAATTTATGTCTGGATTCTCAGTTCTTTTCCATTGGTCTATGTATCTATTGTTGTACCAGTACCAGGCTGTTTTGACTACCATGGTGGTGTAACAGGTTCTAAAATCAGGTAGTGTGAGGCCTCCCACTTTGTTCTTCTTCTTGAGTAATCCTTTACTTATTCGGGACCTCTTCCCTTTCCGTATGAAGTTGGTGATTTGTTTCTCCATCTCATTAAAAAATGCCAGATCATCACTCAGCTTTTAGTGCTATATACTCTGAACTTCATTTTTTAAATAAAGCCTAGCTATAAATTGAGAATTACTACAATATCTGTCTGTCCTCTAATCTTTTTATGGGGGGGAAAGCTCTTGAAAATCAGTGCCTGGGAATATAGCATAATGTTAAAAGCACGGCCTTTGGAGAGTGATAGCCAGAGCTATATTGCTTATATTTTAATCTCAAACTGGTCAGTTAATTTCTTAAAGTGTCAGTATCATAAAATTATCCCCTCCTTTCAGTGTTGTTATGAGGAATAAATGAGGAAATGTCAGTTGCTTAGCTTAGCCAGTACCCAGCACATGGTAAGCACCCAGGCCATATGGTGGCTGTTAATTTTATTGGTATTGTGATGTAAAATTCTTACAGTTTCTTTGGAAAACACTTATATGTGCTCAGATTTTTACTGTTATCTGTGTACCAATTTGTAATCACTATAAAATATGCACTTTCGGATTTTGTTCTGTCCTGAAGGTGGTGATGAAACAAAATGCTGTAATAGAACATTTAAAACAGAAAAAGACCATGACTCCAGCTGAAAGAGAAGAGAATCAAAGGTAGGGAGAAATCTTTTTAACCCGGTAACACAGGTCTCATGTATCAGTCTCTTCTCTTTAGCGCACACACGAGAGTTCTGACGTTACATTTTTTAACTTGATTGAAGTTCATTAAGTGTGAACACTTGGCACTAGCAGGTGCTTTCTCATAGGCACACATGACTGACTCAAATCACTCTCTGAATCTCTCATCAGAGAGTTTATATCAGTGGTAGAAACAGAAAAATCTTTGTCTTGAGTCATTCAGAATGAAATGCCCAGCATTACATAGATTGTGTATTTTTCTCCAGAATGATTGTCTGTAACCAGGTGATGAAGTATATTTTGGATAAGATAGATAAGGAAGAAAAGCAGGCAGCGAAAAAACGGAAACGCGAAGAGAGTGTGGAACAAAAACGGAGCAAGCAGAATGCTACCAAGCTCTCGGCACTGCTCTTCAAGCACAAAGAGCAGCTCAAAGCTGAGATTCTGAAAAAGAGAGCGCTCCTAGACAAAGACCTGCAAATCGAAGTTCAGGTAAGAAGGTATTTCCTTTCCTTTTGTGTCCAGTGTTTAACATCTAACTTTATTCTTTTTTTTTCCCTTGAATTTTTAGTTAAGCTTAAATTTTCAGATTAAGCTGAAAATGTATATGCATTCAAATTGAATTTCCTCCTATTTATACATTGTAGATCTTCGTGTGTCCCGTGTGGCTTACCCTCTCTTCTTCCTTTTCTGTATCTATCATGCATACCTTTTATCTTTAAAATGAAACCTTTTCATTAGCGTTAAAAATTGTAGTCTTCTAGAATTTACATTTATGTACATAGAGTAAAAAGCTGTGGGACACGTGTCTTGAAACAAGGCAGATATTTTATGTCTAAATGTCTAGTACATTCTCCAAACTAGCCACTCTGAGAGATAGTCTATTGATTAAAACACTTTTAGAACCCTTTTGGGAATAAATTTCAGAGTCTATGACATATTAACCAAAAGTCATTAAAGGCCACATTTCATGAAAAAGTTTGACTGAGAAACTGTGGAATAATGTTGAAAGAATGAAAAATAAAATTTATCCATTAAGTGATAGATAAGACCAGTTTTCTTCCTTGACTTGTAACTGATTCTGAAGGCATTTCTAATCTTCTGCTGCTTGGGGAGTTTATTGAATAAAAATGAGAGAAGACATCAATTCATACATATTTAAACAGCATTCTTAAAAAGAGAAGTTATCTAAAACATTTCTAAAAGTGCCTTATAAATTTAAAGATGAGAAATATTTAGAAAATACTCATCAGACCAACAGCCAACATTACACATCAGAGATCCTCCCACTAAAGTCAGAAACGAGACACCAGTGCCAACCATCGCCATTACTATTTAGCATCTCTGGAAGTTCTAGCTAATACATTAAACCAAGAAAAAGAAATAAGAGATAAAAAGTGGAGAAAAGAGGACAAAATTGTTATGTATGATATGATTATTACCTTGAAGCCCCAAGAGAAAAATTATTAAAATGTATAGGAGAATTCAGTAAAGTCATCAGTTACAAGATAAATACTGCTGCTACAACCAGTTTGAACGTGTAATGAACAAAAGAGCCAATTCACAGTAGCAACAAAAACTATACTAACTCCCACCTAAATTAAGATAAATTTCAGCTGGATCAAAATTTTAAAAGTAGAAAAAGAAACCACAAAAATACTAGAAGAAAACATGATTGCCATTTTTGTAATCTTGGAGTGAGTGGGGAAGGAAACCACTGCTAAGCATTACAAAATTCAGTTACCACAAAGGAAAAGATAGATTTGATGATGTAAGAAAAAAATTTATATAGGAAAAAAATACCATAAACAACATTGAGAAACATAACAAACAGGAAAAAATTTTTGTTAATATTTATGGCAGAGTTAATATTCCTAAAATTCAAAGAGTTCTTGCATCACTAAGAAAAAGGTGAACACTCCAGTAGAAAAAATGTGTAAAAGACATAAACAAGCAGTTTTCAGGCTTAAAAATGCCAGTTACTAATAAACGTATAAAAAGATATTCAATCTAACTACTAATGAAAGAGATGAAAATACCATTTTTCTAGAAGGGAGGGGAAGAGGAATACCATTTCTCCCGAAAATGCCATGCTTTTCGACAGAACATTTCATCCATGTATATCAAGAGATTCTAAAATGTGCATACTGTTAGATCTGTAATTTTACTTCTAGAAATGCATCTAAGAAGCAGTCAGGCAAAGTATATAAACAAGGACATTCATTAATGTGTTAATAATAGCACAAAATTGAAATGAGCCCAAAGTCCACACAGAGGAGATTGGTCATCAGTGTTTCTCCCGCAGGAGCACTTTTGGCCCTTTGGGCAAGTCCATTGGTTACATACACACTGTAGGAAGTGTAGCATCCCTGGCCCTGGGTACCATATGCTAGTAGGATCTCCACCCTTGTAACAACTGAAAAAAGTCCCTGCTCCCTCCACGCACATCCTTAAACACTGTCTAGGAGGTATCATTACCACTGCCAATTGAGAACCACTGGATTAGGTACATTTTGGCATGTCCACATAATGAACTGCCATTTTAACAAACTAATGACTGTAGGATTGGTTTTGTTTGTTTGTTTTATAAATTCTTAGGGAAATTTTTCAGTGATAAATTGCAGAATGAAAAATGCAGATTGTGGAATAGTATATGTAATTGGATGTATAGATTCAGTGCATTCAACAAATGTTGTGAGGTGCCATTGAGTCGATTTCAACTCCTGGCAACCATGTGACAGAGTAGAACTTCTTCATAGGGTTTTCTAGGCTATAATGTTTATGGGAGCAGATTGCCAGGTTTTTCTCTTGCAGAGCTGTTGGGTGGGTTTGAACCTTTTGGTTAGCAGCCAAGCACTTAACTGTTGTGCCACCAAGCTCTTTATTCAACAAATACTAATTTAAGATGTACCACACACTGTTCCCACTTCATGTTCTGCACAGTACAGGGGAAATATTTGAAGTATGAAGGACTGACAATCTGTATCCTTTATATGTAAAAAACTTGGCAATAAAATGGAGTCTTAAAATGAATATTTAATTGCATGTGCATTCAAATGTTATCCTTCAAAGAAATTACCTGGACAAACAAAAATCTGTAATTTCACCCTCTAAAGAGAATCATTTAAAAATAATTTTATAATATATCCTTTGTTTATTATTTTTAATGTGTATATTCATATACAAACACATTTTATACAGAAACAGACTCACGTACATATACTGAACATTTTTCTATATTGAACATACTGTGCAGCCATTTAAAAACTATCTCTACTGCAAATATTCTTCTGTGCAGCTGTGGTGTTATTTTTGACAGTGTATTATTTATCTACTGAAGAAAAGTTATACTTTAAATAAGAAAAGGTCTGGCATTATTTTAACTAGCAGAATTAGTATTTTGCTACCAAAGCCGTTTGCTTCAAAGGACAACATTCAATTGTATTATGTACTGGCATATTTGTTTTTAAAATAATTTTTATTTATAATGATTTCATCTTTTATTTTCAATGCAATTGGACTATATCTGCCTGTTCTTATAGCATTTCTACTTGTCTTTTTGATAAAAGTGTTTTATTCTCTTTTCTGTTATAATTTATACCTACATTTATTTCTCTGAATGTCTCAAATATGCATATTGTAAAGTTTTTGTCAAATTGTTCTATGAAATTAACTTCATATGGAGTGAATTCACGTTCAATTATTGACTTTGTTGGTTATCTTTTTTCACATTACATGTTCTCATTGCTTTGGAGTTTAGGTTTTGCAAGCTTATTTTGAGTGAGAGGGATTTCATTTTTGTTTGCTCTCTTGCCAGCCCAGTGTAGCTCAGCCAGCCCTTAACCTCAAGCAGCAAGCCTACTCCTGTTACTCACCCTGCACAGAGCCTCTTTAGTCCCCTTGACCCTGGGCAAGAACCTCTGCTGTTTGGCTGCCACTTCCTAGTCTGAATCTGGAGGCAAGCCTGCAGCGTTAGCCCTGTTCCCAGTGTTGTGTATCTGTCTGTTCCATAGAGATACTTATATCCCATTCAAGCATGGCTGTGTCTTTTTAATTTTTCCCGTTTTTATATTTTACTATCATTGGTATGGAGCCCTGGTGGCACAGTGGGTTATGAGCTTGACTGCTAACCAAAAGGTTGGCAGTTCAAATCCATCAGCTGCTCCTTGGAAACCTTATGGGGCAGTTCTACTCTGTCCTATAGGGTCGGTGTGAATTGGAATCAACTTGACAGCAAGAGGTTATCATTGGTATATGCTTGCAGGGTTTGGGGAGCTGATCAAAGTGTGTACTCACTACACCATCTTGACCGTCTTGGTTTTCCTAAAATCCATCTTGTTATTTTATAAGTGGGGTCCTGGGTCCTGGGTAGTGCAGACTGTTAAGCACTCAGCTGCTAACTGAAAGGATGATCATTTGAGTTCACACAGAGACACCTCAGAAGAAAGGCCTGGCAATCTACTTCCAAAAATCAGCCATTGAAAATCCTATGGAACACAGTTCTACTGTGACATACATAGGGTCACCATGAGTTGGACTCCATGCCACAGCAACTGCTTTTTTGTTTTCTGTTCTAAACATATCATATAAATTAGTAAAAATGAAACTCAGGTTTTTTTTTTCTTTCTTCTCTAGTTAAAAAAATTAGGCTCTCTTTTTAAATAGAGGAGGACTGGTGAATATTAGTTACACAGCTTATCTTCTCACTAGACTATCTAGACTTTAAATAAAGAAAATAGGCTTTTTAACCAGGGTTGTTCATGTTTATTTGTTAAAATTTTATGATATAAAAGCTAGAAAGATACTAACATAATGATTATTACTAGTATAACATGGGGGGCGGGTGGTGAAGGGCACAGGGGAGGGGGCTGCACAGTTGTAGAAAGGTCCTGGGTAAAACTGCTTCTTGTTTTCCAGATATCCATGGACCTTATCTCTAGGTAAATCCTTGAAATTGATTTTTTTTTTCTTTTCTTTTCATAGACATCCCCATGAAGCCTCTACTTTAGAATCTGTAAAACCCCTGTAGGGTCAGGAATTCATTTAAATTACCAGTTAAAGCAGCCATTTTGCAGCTAGGAAACTACTCCATTTCTCTGAATTTAAGTGAACCTACCATGATAGCAAAACCCAAGAAATCCACTGCCGTCAAGTTGATTCCGACTCATAGCGACCCCATATGGTTTCCAAGCCTGCCACATCTGTCTCCCACAGAGTGGCTGGTGGTTTCGAACTGCTGACCTTTCAGTTAGCAGTCAGTTTAACTACTGTGCCACCAGGACTCCTTATAATAGCAAAAGTGGTATCAAAATAATTGCCAAGAGCTTCCAATCTCCTTTTAAAGAATATGTGTTTAACTTGTTTTCCACTTTCATCTACTCTTTCATTATATGAATAAGAGACTCAAGGGCCTCTTTCTCTCTCAACCTTTGATACCTAGAATGCAGTATTCGAATATAAAAGAATGGTTCTAACTCTGAATATAACTCTGAATTTTGGAGGGAGAGAAAAATAATTTATAGTTGTATTCGCTTTTAAGAAATATTCTTGGTCATAGCTGTGGCTCATTTACATCAAGTTCTTATTCATGGATGCCAATCAAAATGGTCTCCCCCAGCAGGGAAGTAAAATTTGTTTTAAACATCCTTTCAAAAAGAAAGTTGTAGCACTGGGTAGCAGAAGTGTGTCTACAAAGTACTTCACATGAAAAAAAGTAAAAGTTTTTATTTATGGTAAAATCTGTAATAAGAAAATGGTGTTATATTGCTCAGCTCTGCCCTTTTCTGCCGTCTTAAATTCTAGACATGGGAACGTGATCAGCAAGGCAGATCTGTCTCATTCTGCTTTGTGCTGGTCAGACCACATGTGGGTGTCAGGTTCAGTTCACACTGAATGCATACAGCAGAAGAAAGCAGCCCATGGATGAGGACACTTGAACTCACATCCTGACCAGCAACTGAAATAACCAGGACATGGCAGTGGGCAAGCTGGGAAGGCCGGACTGTTTAGACACTTGCTCATCTTTCTGCCAAATCTCTTTTCAAGATAACTAGCAGCTATCTAGTTGTTATGTAATCTTCATTTTTTATATCTAGTCATTTTGATTGGGTTTAAGATTTAGTAAGAAAAACCTTGTATGGCACTGCTAAAAGTCCTTCACATTAAGCTGAACTCTGGAGATACCTCAACAAGGGAGGTGTACCTCCTCTGGCTAGATCATGCATTTACTGAATTCTAATGACAGTCTTGTATTTAATTGACAACAGGAAGAGCTAAAGAAAGACCTCAAACTTAAGAAAGAAAAAGACCTGGCGCAGGCTGCAGCAGTAGCTGCAGCCCTCCCAGTGACTGCAGCTCCTCCAGCCCCTCCGCCTTCACCTCCACCCGCTCTGCAGCCCCCAGGCCTCCTGTCCACACCCACGATACCTGCAGCTTCCCAGAAGAGGAAGCGGGAAGAGGACAAAGACTCAACCTCTAAGTCCAAGAAGAAGAAAATGATCTCTACTACCTCAAAGGAAACTAAGAAGGACACAAAGCTTTACTGTATCTGTAAAACGCCTTACGATGAATCTAAGTGAGTACTCTTTTTGAGCTCTAGTTGTTTTCTTACAAGTTTAGCTGTTAAATTGATAGTTTTGAAGAAAATGAGTATATCGGTAGAAATATAAGTGAAAATAGTCAAAAGTGAGGGTAATAATGTTTCAAGTGTGATCTGATAATCTTGACACTAGAAAAGTGAAATTTATTATTTCACATGTTCATGGTTCTTGTTGGTCTGTCGCCATATTCTTTTCTGTCAAAAACAAGCTTTCTGTTGCTCCTTTGCTTTCTTGTCTTCCCTCTGGATTAACTCCAAGTCGGTCAGTATGCTGCCTGGAGCAGGTGTGTTATTATTGTTATCCAAATTGAGAGCATCCTTTCTGGCATCCGTTCACAAACCTGTGATTGCATTAAATCCTAGAAACCGTCTGAATATGAATGGTGCCAGAGGTTTCAAGTTTACGTGGTTAGGGTTTTTTCTTGTTTTATTTTAAGCAGTTTTGTGTTTTTTGTATTGGAATACTTCAACTTAATATATTTTTGTCAGAGTTCTTACTTTCTTATTAGGAGCAAAAGTCAGAAAAATACAAAAAGTGATCCTTTCACCATTCCTCCCATATGATACTCAAAAATTTGATGAGCATCGTAGCTGGAAGCTGTTTTTGACACTTGTGACTTGTATTTGGTTATATTAACAATTTAGAGACATGTATCAATAAATGTAGCTTCATTTTTTGTTGTCAGTACTATCATTCAACTGAGTTCTTAGCTTCCATTTTGAGCATTAAAATGTTGGCCAGCTTTTTTAAGGCAAAATTAACCATAATATTTCTTACAGTACAAAAAAGTGTATTTGATTGTGTTAAAATATATGACCACTTAGAATTAGGAATACTTATTGTCTGTTTTAGGAATTTGTAAAATAAAATTGTGGTCTCTTTAATGATGTTTAAGTTGCAACGTTGAAGTTGCTTTGGTGGTGCTATCTAAAATCATAATCTGTTTGCAAATGCCAGATCAAAACTGTGTGTTGGTAGATTTAGCTGTGTGTAATATTAAACATCATTCAGTTCAGACAAGTTTGGGCATCTTCACTTTTCGTTGTCTTACTTCATTGGGAATTATACATAATGTAAAAAGTGGAGCCTTAGTAATTGATTTTTCCCTTAGTCTAGTATAAGTGTGCCTCGCTTTAAGCAAAATTTCACTAAATGATTTACAGAACAAAACAACATGATTGACTCTCTTTACAAAGTAAAGATTTGCTTATGGAATTTCTTTAAATAATAAGACTTGTTTGGCCTATTTTAAAATATTCAAATCACAGAAATCCATTTCACACACAACTGCATGAATTCCAAAGTTGCATAAAATGAGGTACACATGTATATGTGCTCATTCTGTTGAGATTGCCTCATTATTTTGTGAATATTTCATATTTTTCAGTTTGTCATTATTAACATTTCCATATTCCAGGTTCATTCACTCCCTGTTCTAGTTGGGATTAGTTAGTGTTTTTTTTAGGAGCATCTTGTAATCTCTCACATTCTAGTTTACTCTGAGGCTGGTTTAGGAATCTAGTGACAGAATGACAAAAAATTGAAATTCAAGTCCTGAGCTTCCGTCCAGAACACAGCCCTGTGGAGGCAATGTACAAACCACCTCGAATGAAACCGACCCATGGCAGTGAAAGACACGTGAGAATCATGGTTCAAAAGAAAAAAGAGTTAGTGATAATAGGATCAACCACATGACCTTGTGTTACTTCTTCATGATCATGAAGCAGGTTAGTTTGAAGCCTGAGGACTGCTTCCATTCCTCTAGGTGAATTTACCTAGAAATGCCTTGGTAGAATATGGATGGCAGTGATATCAGCAAAGCCAGGCTGGTTCCCTGCGACCCCTGCTAATTCTTGCTGTGACTTGACATGGCATTTCTTCACAGCTCCTGTCGGCACTTCAGATACACTAGATAATTATTTGTCATTAAAGATCTTGTATTATAAAAACCCTTGAGGGTTCACTGTATGTGAACAATTACGCACACAGTCCCACCTTGCCAAATATGTTTAAAACCTCTCACGATTTTGGATAACTATCCTTACATCACTCTCTGTACTGTATCCCTGTTTTGAACTGAAGCAGCTCCTTCAGCATTGCCTATCAGCTAGGCCATACTGTCCACATATTCACACACGATACTAACTGACAAGTTGGTCCATGTAATAATTTGTTAGAAGACAGTGTTTAATTAAATTCCTATGTTTATTCAGAAAACTTGTTAGAAATTGAATTACTACATGTACATGTCCCTCTCAGTTTTCTTCTTCATATCATATTGTGACCATTATCTTCTACACATGGCTGACCTGCATGTTCCTTACAGTGTTAACTTCTACTTGGTGTTTGCGCTTTGCTTTGTTTGCAAATTTAAACTGTGAGATGTATTTTCAAACCTATCTAAGAAATAGCCCTGACATTAAAATGGCTTCTGTGGCATAGGTTTGACAGATGTAAGTCTTTGATTCTTTGGCTTTGGTTTTTGTGCCTGTTACAGTTTTACGCACATTCATTAAGAGGGAGACATTATCATCAGTGTGTTGTTTATTTTTTTCAAATTCCAGTATGTTTTTAAAGACCCATATTTCATGAAACAGTGTATTTGTTGAAATTGATGTGAGTGACTCTGTGTTTCCACACTTGATACAGTGTCAGATGCTGTAGCTTGCCAGGGGTAGAATGGTTGGATTTAGGATGTTTAGATGACTCACTGCAGAAAGTCAGCCTGTAAGAAAGTGAATCAGGGCAGGGAAGACAGATTTACGTACCATGCAGCTCAAAATGACAACTACATTGTCATTTTCATTGTGAATACTTTTAGGTTCTATATTGGCTGTGATCTTTGTACTAACTGGTATCATGGAGAATGTGTTGGCATCACAGAAAAGGAGGCTAAGAAAATGGATGTGTACATCTGTAATGATTGTAAACGGGCACAAGAGGGCAGCAGTGAGGAATTGTACTGTATCTGCAGAACACCTTATGATGAGTCACAGTGAGTTCTGATAAGAGCATCATATTTAATAATTTAGGAAGCCAAATTGCTCTGACTGGTTATTTATTTTAAATTAAAAAGCAAGATTTTTTGCCTGCATATATTATACACTTACATTACAAATTCTTTCTCGGTTTTTGTTTTTTTTTCTCTTTTTCCCTCTTTACCTCCCCTTCAAAGTTTATGTTGCTTCATAGTGAATATTTGAGATGCATTGGGAAAAATATGGTTTAATGGTAGATTTGATTCTTCAATATGTAACATAGAAGTTAATAAGATGTAAAATAGCCTGATTTGTTTGGACTTTATCAGTGTTTGAAATCGTGCTTTATTGTAGGTTAGGAAAACAGTAATTTGGGTTACAAGCTCTGAGATTGTTATTAGCTTATAGGATTTTGAACTCCCAGTTGGGTAGCCAATATCAGCTTCCCATTTGCTGTGGTACCAGTTGAAAGATTTTTGGCTTTATTTTGTTTTGAGCTTTAAAGTCAATTAAATATATTACATTTTTCTTCAAATTGGTTCCCAGTATTACAGAATATCCTTAATAAACTTTTACTGCTTGTTCTTAACATCAAAAATACTAAATTAACACATTGGAATGTCAGTCTTCAAGAATATTAAAACAACCTCAATACTGAATCTGTTCAGACCCCAGGGTTTTAGCACATTCTCAGGTGCATGTTTTATTCCTTTCAAAAGTAAATTATAAGTAACGCAATCCCATCTGTTTTGAACTCACATTTCCATTTCGGATCTTGCAGATTTTATATTGGCTGTGATCGGTGTCAGAATTGGTACCATGGGCGCTGCGTTGGCATCTTGCAGAGTGAGGCAGAGCTCATTGATGAGTATGTCTGCCCACAGTGCCAGTCAACAGAGGACGCCATGACGGTGCTCACACCGCTCACAGAGAAAGATTATGAGGGGTTGAAGAGAGTGCTGCGCTCCTTGCAGGTTAGAAACCACTCCAACGCAGTGTTTGAAAAGGAAATCAACAATACAACTTTGGAAACGCTTCTAGGGTTTGAACTTTCCAGTCTCAGAGTGTGTGATTATTTACAGACTCCCAGCTAGTCTAGTGACGTGCTTCACAAACTTAAGTCATTCACTTGCCAGTGTCATGAGGTTTACCATATCTACATACCACCTCAACTGTTGTTTGTCTCACACTTTTATTTAAAATAATTCACTGTTTTCAGCCTGAATTTTATTTTTAAAGAAAAATTTATCTCACCACCATAGATTGAAAACAGTTTGATTAATTCTAGTGAGTTACAAATTCTTATCTAAGGCTTTGAGCCAAAGCCTTCCTTCTCTTATTAACAATAAAAAGGAGGTGAGGATGGCTTACAAGATTAGCAAATGTTATTCTTTGATGGTTATGAGGGTAAGGAGGGAGGGAGAGGGGTTTTCGCTAACTAGATGTAGACAAGAATCATCTTTGGTGAAGGGAAGGACAACACACAATACAGGGAAGTCAGCACAGCTGGAGTAAACCAAAGCTAAGAAGTTTCCTAAATACAACCAAACACTTCGAGGAACAGAGTAGCAGTGGTGGGGGTCTGGGGTCCATGGTTTCATGGGACATCTAGGTCAGTTGGCATAACAAAGTTTATTAAGAAAATGTTCTGCATCCTCCTTTGGTGAGTGGCATCTGGGGACTTAAAAGCTAGCAAGTAGCCATCTAAGATGCAGCAATTGGTCCCAACCCATCTGGAACAAAGGAGAATGAAGAACACTAGAGACACAAGGAAAATATTAGCCCAAGAGACAGAAGGGCCACATAAACCAGAGACTCCATCAGCCTGAGACCAGAAGAACTAGATGGTGCCTGGCTACCACCAGTGACCACCCTGACAGGAAATACAACAGAGAGTCCCTGATGGAGCAGGAGAACAGTAGGGTGCCAAACTCAAATTCTAGTAAAAAGACCAGACTTAATGGTCTCACTGAGACTGGAGGGACCCTGGAAGACATGGCTCCCAGACTCTCTGTTAACCCCAAAAGTAAAACCATTCCCGAAGCCAACTCTTCAGACAAAGATTAGACTGAACTATAAGACACAAAATGATGCTCATGAAGAGTGTGCTTCTTAGCTCAGGTAGGTACATGAGACTAAATAGGCAGCTCATGTCCAGAGGCGAGATGAGAAGGCAGAAAGGGATAGGAGCTGGTTGAATGGACATGGGAAATCCGGGCTGGAGGGGAGGAATGTGCAGTCACATTATAGGGAGAACAGCTAGGGTCACATAACAATGTGTGTATCAATTTTTATATGAGAAACTAACTTGAACTATAAACTTTCACTTAAAGCACAATTTAAAAAAAGATTAGCAAATGTTAGAGATGTGTTCAAGACCTAGAGCACTAGATTGGTACATTCCCCAGTTGTAATAATAATCAGAAGAATTGAAAGAACTGAAAAGAGAATACTAGTTTCAGTCTGTGGTTAAATGTTATTTAATGTCACATCTCTGCCACCTCATTAACCAGCACTGATAATCATTTCACACTTTGAGCCCACACCACCCCAATTTTACAGAAATGATTGCAGTGCCAGCATGACTCGGTTGGCAGGTTATCAATTAGGGACCAGAATACAGATTTCTTGATTCCTAGACTAGTTAACTCAACTGGACAACTTGAATCAGTATTTCCACCTGACAATAACAATACCTGTTTTTTCATTATAGGCCCACAAGATGGCCTGGCCTTTCCTTGAACCAGTAGATCCTAATGATGCACCAGATTATTATGGTGTTATTAAGGAACCTATGGGTAAGTACTTGAGTGAATATAGAGTCTTATTAGACGTCTTGGCAGATATTGTATTTATCATCCATAAAATTGATACATCATGCTAGTATCTCAAGCAGGGTTGAATTGGCATGGCCACTTTGGAGAGTAAATTGAGAGGCCCTATTAAAGTTTAAATGTGCATACCCTCTGACCCGACAATTTCTTTTCTTAGGATTTTATGTGCACAGGTATGTTGTTCATCACAGTAATGTTTATAATTGCACATACTCTAGAAATGACCTCAATAGCCACCAGTAGAAGAGTAGCTAAATCAAATGATATATCCACACAGTGGAGTATTATGCAGCTGTGTAAGAGTGAATGAAATCAATGAACAGGCCAGCAATTGTCTGATCCCCTTGTCTTTTTGTATTCCCTCTTCTTCATCTTTTCCTGCAAGAGACGAAATTTGATGGCCCGCTGTATATAACCTCATTTCCCTGGTGGGGAGGGGGTGGTAGGGGACTGAAGAGGGGAGAACGGTAATCAATAATAAATAACATTCATAAAGAAGATGAATAGCTATAAGTGACTGTATTTAAAAAGAACTTGTTTGCAAAAGAAATTATAAAAATTAAAACAGAAAAACCTCCAAAGCGCCAAAAGATTAGTTCTAGCTGACGAAAGATTCACGTTCCAAAAGCTAGTTAAGCATCTTTGAAATGGAAAGGGTTTGTGTTTGATAGCACCTTCAAAGAGGGAAAACAGGAAGATTAAATGAGGATTTAGTTAAAACTGTCTCTCAAAAACAAATGTAAATAAATAAGTTGTTACTTCTATTCTCCTGACATTTAAGATGGAAGAAGTTTTACATATTTTAGATTTGTGTTGTCGCCTTTGAGAAAGTAACCGGTAGTATTTATTATATAAATACTGTATATATACAAAAGTTTTGTTCTAAAAAGAGCATAGGTTAATTGTAGAAAATTTAGGTAATATACAAAAAAAAGAGAAGATAAAAGGTACCTTTCATCTTTTCCTCACTCAGTCAAAAAGCCACCTGTATAGACAATAACCACTATTAAATTTTGTGTGTGTATGTAAAAATGGCATGGCAGGGATGTCTGACTTCCTCTAACTTCACAAGGGGAGAGGAGAATCATTGTCAGCATTAACAGCCCAAGGCTGATACAGGTGGAGGTCAGACATACCTCCCCTCTTCAACCTTTTTACCAGTTCTAACACCAGCTGTCCCTCCCACGGCACTCTCTGTTTCTCTGCTAGGTTTGATAATTTGTTACACGGAACTCACAGGTAAATAACAGGGTACAACTCGGGATCAGAAACAACTCAGGATACAGTTGTTTCATCAGGACAGCTTCTTCTCAGCCATGTCCATAGGCAGGCCTCTCCCTGGCCCTTGGGCCTCTCAACCCCTCAGCCCCTCAGTCCCTCCGGCCTCTTGGACGGACCCAGCCTTTGCCCTGCAAGGGCAAGTGTTACAAAGCTCTTTAGCTCTACCGGTAAGTGCCCAGAGGCACCCATTCCACTAGTAAGCCTTGGCCTAAAGACACTCAGCTCTCTAGCTCTGCCAGCAAGTCTCCTACCCAAAGGTACTCTGCTTTCTCTCTCCATGGGCCAGGAAGCCCGCTATGACATCTCGCGCCAGGGTCCTGGTTCTGCTGCCTCTGCTGCCACTGTTTCTCTGCCACTGCTTCTCACCACCTCCGGTGTTACAGCTCTCTCTCAGTATCCTGGGCCTAGAAGGTTCTCAGTGCAGGGATCCTGGATCCAAAGGATGCACTCCACTCCTAGCCCTTCCTTCTTGGTGGTAGTGAGGTCCCCCCCCTCTACCTCTAGGATGGCTCATTTTAAGCCTAGTGGGATGACAAAACTAACCAATCCCCTCGTTAGGGTTCCATACACCTTATTTGCATGGTTTCACCCCCACAAGGGTGTCATGCACCTTATTTCTATTATTAGCGAGCCGTCCAATCCCCTTGATGGGCTACAACCACCTTACTTGCACAGCCACACCTAGTCATTTGGTGGGAGTTACAAGACTATGACCATAAAAGCCATATAAAAGTGATCCATTGCCCTGCAGTGTGTGAGTATATGTGTGTGTGTGTGAAAATTGTAGATGTGTTAAAAAAGAGATCATATAGTAAATGTTTTCTGCCTAGCAGGTATTTTCCTGTGCCATTAATCTTCAAAAATATGATTTTAATGGCTTTATATAATTGAATATACCTTATTTCACCAAAATTCTTTTATTGAAGAGCTAGATTGGTTTTTCTTCTTTGCTTGTTTTGTTTTACTTAATACGACCAAGATCAACATCATCTTATGTAGGTATGTACATAAAGAATGATAATATAGATCTCCAAGATATCTTATTGAAAGAAAAATGCAAGTTGCAAACAACACCTAGGTTTTAAACAATAAACAATTGTATATTTTCTAAGAGTGCATAAATATGTGCACAAGTGCATAGAAAAAATGTCTAGAAATATGTAGAATAAACTGAAAACAGTAGTTCCCTTTGGGGATAGGAAGAAACCAAAAGGATCAGAATCTTTTATTTTCTTAAGCAGAAATGTTTTTATATTGTTTATCCTGTTTTATCTACCACTTGTCTGTCAGTTTGTTGTACTGTGGTGGCTTGAGTGTTGCTGTGATGCTGGAAGCTATGCCACCAGTATTGCAAATACCAGTAAGGTCATCCATGGTGGACAGGTTTCAGTGGAGCTTCTAGACTAAGACAGACTAGGAAGAAGGACCTGATATCTACTTCTAAAAAAACTGGCCAGTGAAAACCTTATGAATAGCAGCAGAACACTATCTGATATAGTGCCAGAAGATGAGCTCCTCAGGTTGGAAGGCACTCAGAAGACAACTGGAGAGGAGCTGCCTTCTCATAGAGTCGACCTTAATAACATAGCTAGAGTAAAGCTTTCGGGACCTTCATGTGCTGATGTGGCATGACTCAAAATGAAAGGAAGCAGCTGCAAACATCCATTAATAATCAGAACATGGAATGTACGAAGTATGAATCTAGGAAAATTGGAAGTCATCAAAAACTAAATGGAACGCATAAAGATTGATATCCTAGGCATAGTGAGCTGAAAGGGACTGGTATTGGCCATTTTGAATTGGACAGTCATACAATCTACTATGCCAAGAATGACAAATTGAAGAGAGATGGCGTCGCATTCGTCAAAAAGGATTTCAAGATCTATCCCGTAGTACAGCACTGTTAGTGATAGGATAATATCCATATGTCTACAAGTAAGACCAGTTAATATGACTGTTATTTTCTAGTTTCCACACCACACTGATGCCAAAGTTGAAGAAATTGAAGATTTTAACCCACTTCCACAGTCTGAAATTGATCCAACATGCAATCAAGATGCATTGATAATTACTGGTGATTGGAACGCGAAAGTTGGAAACAAAGAAGTATCACTAGTTGGAAAATATGGCCTTGGTAATAGAAGAGACGCCGGAGATCACATGACAGGATTTTGCAAGACGAATGACTTCTTCATTGCAGATACCTTTTTTCAACAACATAAAATGGCAACTATACACATGGATCTCACTGGATCAAATCAACTACATCTGTGGAAAGGGATGATGGATAAGTTGAATATCATCAATCAGAACAAAACCAGGGCCTGACTGTGGAACAGACCATCCGTTGCTCATATACAAGTTCAGGTTGAAGCTGAAGAAAATTAAAACAAATCCATGAGAGCCAAAGTACAACCTTGAGTATATCCCACCTGAATTTAGAGACCATCTCAAGAATAGATTTGATACCCTTCAGCCAGGGATTGGACAAACCCATGGAAAAGGACAAGATGAGATGGGCACAGCAGCCTAGGGACGAGAGGACGGGAGTGGTCAGGAAAGCTGGTGGTGGGAAGTCTAGAGTTGAGAATGGGGGAGTGTTGATGTGTCATGGGGTTGGCAACCAATGTCACAAAACAATATGTGTATTGATTGTTTAATGAGAGGCTGATTCGCTCTGCGAACCTTCATCTAAAGTACAATAAAAATAATAATAGATGAACTGAAAAAAATTATAACAAGTAATCATCATTAGGTTAGATATTTAAAAAAAAGAATAGATTTGACACATTGAATACTAATGACCGAAGACCAGACAAGTTGTGGGATGACATCAAGGACATCAGGCAGGAAGAAAGCAAAAGGTCATTAAAAAGACCAAAACGGATGTCAAAAGAGACTCTGAAACTTGTTCTTGAATGTAGAGTAACTAAAGCGAATGGAAGAAATGACGAAGTAAAAGCTCAGCAGAAGATTTCAAAGGGCACCCAAGAAAAAGTAAAGTGTTACGAAGAAATGTGCAAAGACCTGGAGTTAAAAAACCAAAAGGGAAGAACATGCTCGACATTTCTCAAGCTGAAAGAACTGAGGAAAAAATTTCAAGCCTCAGGTTGCAATATGGGCAAAATATTGAATGACACAAGAAACATCAAAAGAAGCTGAAAGTAATACACAGAGTCATTGTACCAAAAAAGAACTGGTCAACACCAATTCAGGAGATAGCATATGATCAAGATGGTATTGAAGGAAGAAGTGCAAGCTGCACTGAAGGCATTGGCGAAAAACAAGGCTCCAGTAATTGACAGACTACCAACTGAGTTGTTTCAACAAACACTAGAAGCAATCTCTTGTCTATGCCAAGAAATTTGGAAGACAGCTATCTGGCCATCCAACGAAAGAGACCCATATTTGTGCCCATTCCAAAGAAATGTGATCCAACAGAATAAGGAAATTATCGAACAACATCAGTAATATCACACACAAGTAAAATTTTGCTGAAGATAATTCAAAAACCATTGCAGCAGTGCATCGGCAGGGAACTGCCAGAAATTCAAGGTAGGTTTAGAAGAGGATATGGAACAAGGAATATCATTGCTTATGTCAGATGGATCCTGGCTGAAAGCAGAGAATACCAGAAAGATGTTTACCTCTGTCTTATTGACTATGCAAAGGCATTTAACTCTGTGGATTATAACAAATTATGGATAGCATTGGGAAGAATGGGAATTTCAGAACAAGGGAATACTGATTTAAAATCAGGAAAGGTGTGCATCAGGGTTGTATCCTTTCAGCATACTTATTCAATCTGTATGCTGAACAGATAATCCGAGAAGCTAGACTATATGAAGAACGCAGTATCAGGATTGGAGGAAGACTCGTTAACAACCTGTGATATGCAGATGACACAGCCTTGCTTGCTGAAAGCGACGGGAACTTGAAGGACTTACTGATGAAGATCAAAGACTACAGCCTTCAGTATGGATTACACCTCAACATAAAACAAAAATTCTCACAACTGGACCAGTAAGCAACATCATGATAAATGGAGAAAAGATTGACATTGTCAAGGATTTTATTTTACTTGGATCCACAATCAATGCCCACAGAAGCAGCTGTCAGGAAATCAAATGACATTCTCCGTTGGGCAAATCACCTCTTTAAAGTGTTAAAAAGCAAAGGTGTCACTTTGAGGACTAACGTACGCCTGACCCAAGCCTTGGTATTTTCAGTCACCTCATACACATGAGAAAGCTGGACACTGAATAAGGAAGACTAAAGAAGAATTGATGCCTTTGAATTATGGTTTTGGCGAAGAATATGAATATACCCTGGACTGCCAGAAAAACAAACAAGTCCGTCTTGGAAAAAGTAGAGCTAGAACACTCCTTAGAAGGGAGAGAAGGTCAGCTAAAAAGAGGAAGACTCTCAACCAGATGGATTGACACAGTGGCTGCAACAATGGACTCAAACATAGAACCATTGTGAGGATGGCGCAGGACCAGGCAGTGTTTCGTTCTGTTGTACATAGGGCTGCTATGAGTCAGAGCCAACTCAAGGGCACCTCATGACAACAACAACATGGACAAAGATATGTGGTTGTTTGACTTTGCTTGTCTTTGATAACTAGTAATGTATGAACCATTTGAATTTTTTCTGTGTGAATCCTATTGTATTTTGCTCATTGTTCTCTTGGGATATTCATATTGTTCTGAATGATATTTAAGAACTATTTGTATACTAAAGATATGTGAAAGTTTTATAGTGAAATGCTGATCATTATGAATTCTGCCTTTGGTACTATGCTTACAACGTCTTTTTCCCTATCCCCAGCGTATATAAATACCTATCTGTTATCCTAGTATTTTTGCCCTTAAATTTTAATCCACTTAGACTTATTTTGTCATATAGTGTCGCTATGTATCCAGTTGGCCAACCCTATTTATTAATGAATTTTTCCTTCCCCTGCTAATTTGAAATGATATCCTTAACATATATGAAATTCTTATATCAAATACAGTTAGGTCTGTTCCTGTTTTGGATTCAGTTCCATTGATGTCTGTCATCCTGCACCAAAAACAAACAAACCCAGTGCCGTCAAGTCAACTCCACCTCATAGTAACCCTGCACAGTGCCATACTTTACGTTGTCACAGTTCATAATATTTGTTAATATCTAATCAGTTAAATTATCCCCCATTACTTTTCTTTTTCAAATGTTTCTTAGATATTCTTGAGCTTTTTTTTTTTTGAATGACCTTTAAAATCATTTTTTCAAATTCCAAAGTAAGCATCATTGAGATTTAATTTGTAACTGCGTTGTCATTGCCCTTTTCCTATCCCAGATTTTTATGTAAAATTGTGTACCGACTTTCCTTCAAACAGAACTTTCTCCTAGGAGTTAATGTTATTTCAGGCAGATTTAACTTAGTATATTCTAAGGCAGTTACGTGTGTGTCACCCTTATGATTTATTCCATTTCTGCATACTATTACCTACTAATATTTTTATTCATATCAACTAATATTTTCCCTTTAAGTTTTTTTAAGTAGAAGCATTATATCATTACCATCATGAATGGTAAATCAGTATCATTTGTCACAAATATAATAGTAAAAAGGAATAAAGAAAACAAAATGATGTTATTAAAGCCCAATACAAGGACAACAGAACCAGTAGTACAGAGATTTTTTTCTCAATTCTGGATCCCAGCCTTCTCTTTGCATGTATAATATACTTAATTTTTGGCATGTAAAAATGTATATACTTCGATACGCACAGATGTCATGTTGGCGTGATTTCCTGTATTTCAACCAGTTGAAGAAAGACCTGTCCTATGTAAAATAACCTTCTTAACAGTAGCAAGGTTTTATATTTCAGACTCCCCCCCGCACCAATCAAAAACAAATTGGAAAAGTGCCTCTATTTTCTTCATTAATTGCAACATAAGCATCCAGTGGGGAACCGGCTTGGTTCCAGGACTGCTTGGGCAGTAAATATTCTTGTTAGTCATGTTAGAAGCGCCAGGAATACTCACAGTTGTGCTGGAAAAAGCTAAAAGCTTCGATAATGTTGTGCGTTTTGTGTTTTTAAGACCTTGCCACCATGGAAGAAAGAGTACAAAGACGATATTATGAAAGGCTGACGGAATTTGTGGCGGATATGACCAAAATTTTTGATAACTGCCGTTACTACAATCCAAGTGACTCCCCTTTTTACCAGTGTGCAGAAGTTCTTGAATCATTCTTTGTACAGAAATTAAAAGGATTCAAGGCTAGCAGGTGAGCAGATGTGTCGGGTGTTGTGAATTCATTCAGCTGCTCAAATTCTTTATACTATCCTGTCTATGCAGTTTATGGTAAATTTGGATATTAAAATCAAGCATCTTATAAAAAGTCAAGAATCTGTCATTATGATATACTACCAAGGACAAGTGGGCAAATATAATAATGAGAAATTGAATTTATCTTTTATTTACTTAAGTCATTTTTTTAAAATTCAGAAAGCATTTATTGAATGTTTTCAAAATATAAGATGTTATCTTAAATGCCACAGGACACACACAAGGGTAGTAAGACAGAGGTCTTGCTCTTGTTGAGTTTACATCCTAATTAGGGGATTAGAGAACTATAAACATGACTATTCTTGAAGGTACAGTAAGGGGGGACCATAAAAGAGAAGTTTACAGCACTTTCTCCTTAGTTCATGTTTGTCGTATCTTTTTAAATAATTTCCCACCCCCGCCGCCCCGGATATTTTCTCTGTGGGCAAAGCTGGAATTTAAGTCGACAGATCTTTTTCTTTGAACCTCTAGTAACATAAAAGCATTGAGCAACATTGCATGGAATTCAGTTACAGTAGGAACCCTGCTGTTTCTGAACCTCAGCACCCCTTTGCAAGCCCATGATTCTCTTTCAACAGAGGCCTGTTTCCCTTTCATATGATAGCTGCTGCCACTTTGTAACCCGTGGGATTCATTACCCACCACCACCACCACCATTTCCACCAACACGCAAGCTCCCCAACCCCAGAGATTCAGACTGACTAGATCTAGGCTGGGTTGGAGCTTGAGCATCTATATTATCTAATGAACTCTCAAGGAACTCTGTATACCAAAATGTGAGAATCAGTGCTGTACATGGTAATTTTTCTATGAAGAACGTTCATAGGACTTTTTGTCTCTCCTCCAGAAGCAAGGTAGATGGTTACCAAGAACTGAATTTTAGAGTCAGTTTAAATAAAATAAAAGTGAAGGACATAAATCCAGCACAAGTATCCAGTTACCTTCTCTGCAAAGGAATAAAGACCTAGAGACAAGAAAGGAAAGGAAAAAAGACAAAGGAAGAAATGTTGGCTAGCTATAGACCAGAACATAGACCTTTACAAAATCTCTAAAACTGACCCATTTTCATCATTCCCTGTCTGTTATCCTATTAGCTTTAAAACTTCAAATGCAAGGGGACTTACTTAAGATATGTTTATATACCCTCTCTTCTGAGTTCCCAGAATTCATTCAGTCAGCAAATGGTTGTTGAGAACCTACTGTGTGCCAGAATTGGGAATTAAGCAAGGAGTAAAATAAAGCCCTGCTGTCCGTGGAGCTTACATTCTTACCAGGGTGGGCGGGGGAACAGTTGATAACAATTTTGTCCACCCTCATGTACATCAATGCAATACACTAAGGATAAAAGAAGGCTGTAAGAAAAAAACGATCAGATTTACTGGTCTCACAGAGACTGGAGAAACCCCAAGAGTATGGCCCCCAGATACCCTTTTAACTCAGTACTGAAGTCACTCCTGAAGTTCACCTTTCGGCCAAAGATAGAGAGGCCCATAAAACACACAAGACTAAATGGACGCACCAGCTGAAGGGCAAGGACGAGAAGGCAGGAGGGGACGGGAAAGCTGGTAAAGGAGAACCCAAGGTCAAGAAGGGGAAAGTGTTGACATGTCGTGAGCTTGGCAACCAGTGTCACAAAACAGTATGTACATTAATTGTTTAATGAGAAACTAATTTGCTTTGTAAACCTTCATCTAAAGTGCAATAAAAAAAAAAGATGGTTTTAAGAGCTTCCAAAGAGGATAAAATAGGTTACCTATAAAGTAATGAGTATTAGACTAGTATCAGCTTTCTGCTGCAACATGGAGTGCTGGAAGATTGTGGAAGAGTAGATCCAAAATTATTTGCAGCCTAAAAGTCTGTGCCCAACCAACTCATCAAGTATAGAGGCAGAATAAATAACATTTTCAGTCATATAAGGACTCAGAAAAGACCTCTTTCCATTTCCTTTCTTAGCAAGTTATTTTACAACGTGCTTTCGCAAAATAAGTAAATCAGGAAAGTGAATGACCTTGGATCCAGGAAACAAAGGATACAAGAAAGCAGTGATAATTACTCTGCCAGCAGTCCAAATTGGAGTGGGGAAATGGAGGACTCCCCAGGGGGAAAGAAAATGATCATATGTTAGGTGATTTGTTTAAGACAGAAAGATATAAGTCTTTGATAAAGTCAAATAATATAATGGGGAGAAAATAAAAGGCAATTATAAACTCCACAAAAAAACAAGAAGTTGAATAAGGAAAGAAATGCCATCTTAGCAAATGACTAGGTGCCTTAGAGAAAAATATTTACATAGGCACAGAAATTAAATATTACATTGATTTTCACCTTTTAGAGTCATCCTATAGACAAAGCAGGGAAAGATTTTATTTGGTTCTGGAACAGAATATAATGTTATCAGTCTTGTTAATATCAAAGCACAAATGACAGTGTGGGAAATGGGAGCAGAGAGGAGAGGTGAAAGGAAGAATGTTAGCCTCATGAGCTTGAAGAGTTCATGATGGAGAGTGAAGCAATAACTATAGTTCACAGAAGAAGAATTAGAGCAAAATTAAAAATTAGACTCACGAAGGAAAGTGGGAGAATGGTTAAAATGACGTTAAGCTCAATCCTCATCTGCCATACCAGGATTTAAACAATGTAAAGTTGATCAAACCAAAAATAGCAGTACATGTAACCAATGTCACTAAACAATTTGTGTATAAATTTTTGAGTAAAACACTAATCACACTGTAAATTTTCACATAAAACAATAATTTTTTTGGAAATGAAAGGGAAAAAAAAAATAGTGCAGTGTAAGAAATCTTATTACCCAAACAACCAAAAGCGATTGATCCTAGGGAGCCTGTACTTCAGCTGAGTAAAGGTAGGGCAGAGGACCATAGCTTTTCTTTAGAAGCCTTTTGTATTCTTTGATTTCTCTAAAGTTCTTAAAAAACGGAAAGGATCTAGCCTTTGGCAGAAACTGTGAAGGTGGAAGCTGGGGGTTTGGATCCCACCCTCCTACCTGGCTTATAGGCAGAAGCCCTCAAGTGAGTGGTGGCAGCTGCTACCAAAAGCGAGGAAAGCACCTGTGTTCCGGGGCCTGTGGCCAAACAAAGGAATTTGGGGAAGGAAAGAAGGAGGCCTAGGGGCTGGGTCTGCGCAGTAAGGGACCCATTGGGATATCTTGCCATCTGGTTATGTTATGTGGCTTTTTATTATACTTGGGTTTACATGATTTTGATTAGAGAACATAGGAGCGGAATTGAGAAGTTTGCTCAGTTTTGCTTAAATGAAATTGAAATGTGAAGAGTTGTATAAAGGCAACTGACTGTCACCTTTTTAGGGAATTTCTATTGATTTCCAGATTTAAGGCAGAATGAAACATGTAAGTAATCAGTCACTGGAATTTGATTTATTTATAAATTTCCAGTATTTTCTTTGCCATATTTTTTCCATTTTTAGTTTATGATCTCCAGCATTGTTTGCACATTATTTTTTTTACTGCACTTTGCTGTAATTCATCATTTATACCATCCGTGTTCTTTCTTTTCTTACAGATTGTGATATCTTTAGTCTGAATTTTTAACTGGAATCAGAACTGGATGTTGGGGTCACTCTTTATTGTACTACATGATTACCTAACTCAAATATTGCCCCCAAAACGTTCAGAATAGTTAATATAATTTTTTAATGTTAAAGAAGATGTATAGTGGTAAACAATTTATTTTAGCCATGTCAAACAATGTATTTAAAAATTGTAAACTCCTGGAATACTGTATTTATCTGTTATTGTAATATAAAGTACTTCAACTTAGTCCTGGTAACTGTACAGTAATTTGGTTTACTAAAAAGAGTTATGAATAAAACTGTGAAACTAGGAAGGAGACTTTCTGGACTTTAATAGAAAAATGTGATTTTAATATTGCTACTACTCTCCTTTTAACAGAATTATTTTTCTTACATTCCCCAAATCAATGTAAATAAGCACACACGTGTGCACACACATGCATACGTATATCTTTTACCACAATGGTAATGCCTCTGTGAATGTCTCTATTTGTCCCTTTGGCTAAAAGTGTTGTAATCTTTATTAGAAAAAAATATATATTTTTAATAAATATTGGCTTTTTCTATTGAATTATCATGTTTAGTGTACAGTTTAAAATTTGAATATTATAGGCTAAAATCTTCTTAATTGTTCTCTTATATTTGCTTGCCAAGGGTGAGTGAAAGAACGTGGCTGCTTCCCCAGCCTGACAGACCTTGGCATCCACATAAAGCATCATTGTTTTAAAAAATGAAGGGTGCTTAATTGTTCCCTTTTTTCTGTATTCTGTAGGTCTCATAACAACAAACTGCAGTCTACAGCTTCTTAAAGTTCAGCGTGTTAACCTAACATAAAACACAGCAAGAATCTGGTTGTCTGAACTATTTTAAATTAAGGAGCCAGATGTTTTTAGTCAGGTTATCCTGACAAGACTTGACCTAAACTTCGTTTTTATTGGTCATAACAGTCCAATTATATTCTTGGCCAATTTTGTCCAACGGACAAGGGAAAAGCAAAGTCAACGACACCATTATCTTGTCAAGATCAAATGGTTTTACTATTGTGGCAGAAGCGGGAAACCTTTTGTTTATTGAAAATAAAAAAGAAAGCAAGAAAAAAAGATAATATGGGGTCAAGTGTAACTCCATGGAAATGCCACGTCTGCTCTTCAGTGAAGAAGCTGGTTTAGAGTCTCACAGAAAACTTTTGACTGTATTTATTTATTGTTGCAAAAAAGACGCTTTTTTATTGCTGCCCTCATTTGTCAGCTAATTATTTTTTCTTATAAAATCCAGCCCCGGTTACATGTAATCCATCCTGTATCTTATCATGATTCCTGTAGGTAAAAGTACAAGACGACCTCTAGATGTCTTTTCTTTCTATGAAAGGAGCTGCTATGTACACATGTGCACACACACAACTGGGAATCAACAATGAGTTTATTGTTCATGGTAGATAAAAATTAAGCTTGCATAAAGGTTGGGCTAAGTGGTCCTGGACTACAGACTCTGTTGCCTTGAATATAACAGTACAATTTGTCATTTACTCTGCACCAGGCTAAAACGAGTAAAATCTATTTGAAGGTATCTTGTTTGTAAACATTTGTCAGATTCTAATTTTTTTTTCTTTTTGTATTAAAATTCAACTATGGATGTATATGAAACAAAATAAATGGAGATCATTTTTCTCCCACAGATGGAGGTGTCTTTGAATGTGCGCTAATGATTATCTGTAAGCCTTTGTGGGGAGAGGGAGGGCTGACAGGAAAAGAGAAGGCAGAAGAACCTAATTGTACCTGGTTTTCTCCAGGACAGTAGTGCCCCTTTGTTGTATCATCCCAGCTCATTGTCATCACTGCAGAGAAAAATCTTCAGGGGTGCTAATCCTGTTGTAGCAATTGATCATACTAATAAAAAAGGGAATGTGACGAAATACACATTGCCTTCATCTGAACATTATCGGATACCAGGCAAATTATCACCATCATGCAGGAACTATAGCTACTTACACTTTATGAAGGGCGTTTTTTTTTTAGATGACTTCATCTCTTTGGTTTTTTGTTGTTGATTGTTTGTGTGTGTTTTGGGTTATTTCCCTGCATAAAGAAAAGTAGTGTAAGTGCTGGGAAAAGAATGGAAACAACAGAGGGAGTTGTGCATGTTTTTCCTTTCAGTGTCCTAACCTTACACATTGTATTACTGTTGTAATAATAGCTTCCATAAAATCTGCCATAGTTGGATTATGCAGCTTTGCAAAACTTTTACTAGATTTTGCACTAATTCATATTAGCTTTGTCCTACCAAGTTCTGGAATTTACCTAATTACGGTTTTTTAAAAGTTTTCGTCTGTTTAATATTGCCCTGCTATGCAAGACCGCTCCTACACCTTAGTTTCTTAAAATAAAGACATTGCTACAGTTCCCAATTCTTTCTTACTACAGGCTCAGGTGTACAGGTTATTCTGGGTTAATTTTATCTAATGAAGCCCGTTCCTTTTTGTACATAATGATGTCACTTAAACCTATGCTTACAAACTAAAGAGACTAATTGCTCAATATGGAAACAAAGTTTTTGCTTAAAATATTAAGATGAAAGTAGCTGAATATAGGTTATTTTGTCCTTTTTAAAAAAAAATGCTGCATATTGTATGCATTGTGCTGATGCAAGAATTCTACATTTTAATGAATTATAAAATTATTCTGCATCTCATCACATCACAGTATTTCTGTACTATTTATTCATATATAAATATATATTGGCTTAATCATTTAAAACGTGTTGCGGAAAGAACTTTCCTACCTGTAGGCAATAGATTGCTATGTTTTTAACAAATTGTGGTAAATTCTAAGGAGCAATTCTTTTTGTACGTAATAGGACATTTCATCCTAGAAAATAAAGTAATGTTTTTGACATTGGATTTGGTGCAGTTTCTAATGAACCAGTGCTTGGTTGGTTGATGACATATTTTCTGTAGCTGTTGGTATTGCCAAACTGTACATAAAAGGTGAATTTTACGGGAATCCTCATACTAGGAAGATGTTAATTTCATGTATGTATTTAATGGCACAAAGCCTTTTGCAGTTTTCTATCACCATATAAATACACAGACATTTTATAGTTTTATCAATTAGAGCTTTAGTCTTTCAAAAGCAAGTTTTGAAAAAAAAATACATTCTTATAAAACATGAGTTTCAAAAGCTGCTTTTTACGAATATTCTTTGACAAACTTCTACTACTCAGTAAGATATACTTAATACAGCTATTTTCCTTTCAATAACCCAAGTTGCATAATGCACATTTGTGATACTGTTAAAAAGTTTCCCAGTCTTTGGGCTTGTAAATATATTTAATTTGCATCAATAGATTTCCTTGGCTAAAAGTATTTTCAATGCTTGTTATTCTTCATCTGCCAAATTCAAAATCCTTGAAACCATTTCATAAAAATTGTTTTCATAATATTGATAAGGCTTTTTTATCCTATCCATATTCTGCAGGATTTGTTATTTTAATGCCCTGCAGGAGGCAAGAGAAAAAAAATGTGAACTTTCGGAGATATTTTCTAAAGTAAAACACTTAACTTTTTATATTTCAAATGGCCTGGAGTGTTACCTAGAGACACTGAGATTTGCTGTTGTTTGTAATCTATCTTCCTAGAATCTGCAAATAAAAGTTCTTTCCCTATTTCTGTTCATTTCTGTTAGGTAAACTCCCTGCTTCTTTGTGTGTTTCTGAGATTCAAGAGCCAGCCCCGTGGCCTTCTAAGTGCACACTTATGGACTGAGATGGAGCTACATTATTGTAACACTCACACTTTCATGATTTGAGGCAATTGCCCATAAATCTCAAATTTATGCTCCTTAAAATGGGAGTGGTAGTATCTCATGGGCAGAGTAATGTCGTGAGTGCTTCGCGGTTGGGGAGGAAGAGCCAGCTGAGAAGTATTTTTAATAATTTGAAATACTCTTAGGTGCTTCTAGGTACTTAGAATAAGATCCACCCATTGCTGTCGAGTTGATTCCCACTCAGGGTAGAACTGCCCCATAGGGTTTCCAAAGCTGTAATCTTTACGGAAGCAGGCTGCCACATCTTCTCCCATGGAGCTGCTGGTGGGTTCTAACCATCAACCCTTCAACATCCAAGTGCTTTAACCTGTGCCACCAGGGCTCCTTTAGAATAAGACGTTTCTCAAAAGATCACACCATTTGATCCAGTTTGGACCAAATTCAACGAAAGAAATATGCTATGTTTTAGAATGATAAAGTCCTGCTTTATTTATCTGTAACTTGCTCAAATATGTCCTAAAATTGAATTTATTCATTGTTGGCAGCAGGTCAGTTTTTAGGTGTTTGCTATACATGTGTTTGATCAACCTTAAAAATGAATTTAAGAGAAAGATAAACAGTGCCAAATAATGTGATCTTTAAAGGACTATCGTAAAAAGCTAGTACCAAAAAAAGGTGTCTTTTGCTACCAAAAGAAGAGTACTTTGTCCTTGAATTCTAAAGTAACAATTTGAAGGAGGGATGCTATTGAGTTACTCTTGAAGGCAACTGAGTATTTTATTGATGAGGGACTATGTGTGCACATAGGCACAAAGGGCCCTTTTGTCTTTGGAGCATAAACCCACTTGCTAAGAGAAATCTATCAATCAGACAAAAGTATTAGAATAATGAATTTGCTAATTTCCATAAAATTAAAGATTGTATCCAAGGTACCAAGTAATGGAGGGAGATTCTTAGCCTTTTTTGCCTCACCTGGAATTACCAGTCTGGTATTCACTCCCTTAATTTTATCCAGGCAGTTTCTAAAACGCTGGCCTGCTTGTGTTTGCTGGAGTGTACGTATTAACTCTGACTTCCAAGCATCACACTCTATGACTTCCAAGTATCACAAATCTCAAACAGCTCTGGCCCTTTTTGTGTGTTTCCAAAATTTCTCAGAAACTACTATCAAATCAGTCTAACTCAAACCTTCAGGTTTATGTAAAAGTGATTTTCCTCCTCTTAAACCAGAGCTATTTATAACTTCATGTTTTAACAACTGCCCATCCACTTAATAACTTATCTATTTGGCCATTTAGTAATTTTCCTCACCATGTTACCATGTTATTCAAGATCACCATGTAGCCTTTTGACATTTTAAAATTCAGCTTTGATTTTTGTGACTGGTGCTACCTTATATCTGAATTAGTTTTATCTTAAAGAAAAATAACTTAGCAGTGCTTCTAGTAATTTGGCCAACACTCATTGTTGGAAAATTCTCAAAAAATCCTTCAGGAATGCTTTGCCACAGAATAGTCAGAACCTCTCAACTTTATCTCTATGCCCCGTGTTTGGGACAAATAAGGTGTATCTCCCATCACAATTAAACCTTCTGTCTTATGCTCTTGCTACACATGTCCCCGTGCATCCTCTATTGTCCTGTCTTGGACATCCTTTAGATACACAGTGCCTCTCTGTGGCCCTTAAAGATTTTGTGTGCCATTAAAGACACATCTTGAGCTCCCTGAGTGTGTCACCTTTGAGACCAAATAGGCTGTTTTCCTCTCTTCAGTGTAGTTCCTTTTTATCGCTCTTTAGGCATTAATCTTCAGCCACGGCTTATCGGTGTCTCTATTCACAGCACTTCAAATTAACCACAATAACAGCTTGATCTTCTGAAAAACATTGTAATTTCTCTGGGCTCAAGTATAAAATCAATGTTAACTCCAGCTAGTGATTCAAGCTTTTTCAAACCAAATGTTTAACATTCACGTGCTTGTGAGCTGTCATTGATGAATATTGGTTCCAGGATTTTTTGGAGTAAGTTTAAGAAAGGCTTTTTCCCAAACCTTTGGGGTTCAGTGAGACTAAAAAACCAGGTGCATCCAAGATCTGATTTCAAGGCAAGATTTACTGCTTCACAAACACACACGATACTTAAGTCTTAATAGAAAAATGACATCAAATACACCCAGAATACCTTTAGCACTGGGATAGCTGCCAGTCTGACACAAAACATAAGTTATTAGGAGCAGGGAGGTATGAAAATAAACTTTTATATTTGGGCATATCTGGAATACTTGTTTGTGTTGCTCAAATTAAGTCCTTTAGTATTCTTTAAATGTGAAATTTTAATACTTATCCTGGGCTCTAACTCTAGTGTCAGATCTAAATAACATTTCATACATAAATGCCTTCAACGACTGCATTTACTGTTATGTACAGAATTAAAATGTGATTGTTTGACTAATATTTGGTTTGATATGTGATACAAACTATTCAAAACTGTATTTAAATTCAAGGAAATTTTTTTGTGAACTATTTCTACTGGAGAGTGTATTTAAATTAAAAATAAACTGAACATGAAGCAGTGGTCTGTTAACAGGACAGGTGAGTTATCTGAGCTGTGTGAATCACCATCTGGCACTACAGTTGAACAGCTTTGCCACTGAGCTCAGAAGCGGAACATTTCAAAAGCATTTTGTAAATAAGAAAATGGCAGCTTCAAGATTAGAGGTGGAACTATACAAGTAGTTCATATAGGAGCTGTGGGCCCTATTCTAAAGGAAGACCCCATTACACGAAGGTAGAACCTTTCATGCCTTGTTGATGAATTCCAAATCTCCTCAGATCCAGAAATGCCAGGATGGTACGTTTCAAGTACATTGAGTGTGAACTGCACCTTGAACTTGACCATCCCTTTTTCTGTTAAATCTTTTCACATAGCTGCTGCTCCTAAGCAGTCCATCTCCTGGTCGGACACGCCCTCTCAGGACCCGGAGCAAAGTTGTAGGGAGCTGCCGTCTCTTACGGTAGATGTGGCCCATCACAATATACCTGCTGCCTGAACAAAACAACCAAAACATAAATTAATAGTGTTTTTTTTTTTTTAGTAGCATTAGACAATAAAATGTAAATTCCTAAGCATGAATCTATTATCTTGCTGTACATGTTGAAATTCAGACATTTAACCTGTAGGCAACAGATGGAAACAGCCTAGTGACCTTTAGAAAATCACCAGATAATCAACCTGTAAACAGCCAACATTACTGAACCAATGTCCTAATCACAATGTATCAGCAGGATCTTCCAGAGCTATCTCCGGAAAGATGTCTGGGAACGGTTATCCCCACCCAAACTCCCGCCCTTCCCTTTCTACACCTCAGTTCTGAGCAGAACCCTTTATGCATTCCATCTGGCATCAGCGTTTCGTCATTCACTCTATTTGTCAACAAATATTTACTGTGTGCCTGCTTTATGCCAATCCGTGCTGTTCCTCACTTGCACCCTTAACCGGAGGGAGAAACAGCTGATGGGGCTTGAACCACAGAGCGGCCCAGAGAATAACTTTCGTCTAAATTCTATACATTTTACAATATCCTCCCCCCACCCCACTTTAAAAAAGGTGTTGGAGTGGCTATGTACAATAGGGACCAGGCCCTGGAATCCAAGTTACAAATGGTGGTATAAAGCACATTTATTAAGTGGTCATTTAGATCAATTTCAGTACCAGGTTTAAATTCTGGACATGGCTTATTGCAACTGGAGGAGTCTAAGGCCAGTATGTGAACGCGGAAGAAAAATCCGTCAGGAGTGATGTACAGGCGGCTCATCTTGTACAGCCCGTCACGGTCCACCAGCAGAGTCACCAGCCGGATCCCTTCGCCGAGCACGTCCACATCATGCACGATTCCGTTCACTGCTACTTCAAAACACAAACAAAACGTTCAGAGAAAAGCATAATACTGATTCTTTTCGCTCATTCTTTAGGGCGTTTTTAACAAATCAGGAAATGGCCCAAACGGGTCTGTGGCCCGTAGGGCCGCCCCTGTGGGTGGGTTTCTCTAGGGGTTGCCGTTAGGGGTGTCCGTCTGCACATCCCGGCGCTCTTCGGCTCGGAGAGGCTCGCCTGGCGGCCTGGGCTCTGCAGCCGGGCCCGGGAGGTGGTGCAGGACGGGGATTACCAAATTCGCTCCCGCAGTAGGACTCGCGCTCGTCTAGGTCCGTCCTGCAAGCGTGCGCGCACAGCTCCGCGTCCCTCGCCGGCGAGCTCAAGCGCGGCGGCGCGGGCGCGGGTCCTGGAGGTTGTGC